GACATCAGTACAAGCTTTCTTTCAGAACGCAATGAAAGAACAGTAAATCCCTGTGGATACCGGAGTTCCGTAGCAGGGGTGATGTCATACATTAAAAATAGACATCCTCCAACAGAAGCCGAAACTTGGGTGAACAGCGCACAGCTCACTACTCGTAACTGCGTGCATGGATTTGCAGCGCATGCTGCTAACCGTGAGAAATCATTTCACGTTTTAAATGATTTCCTGAGCTGCATTTCAATTTCTATACATGCTCTATGGTGTAATTTCCTAGTGCATGTAAATTAACTCAACATAAATACCTGATGGCAACTCCAAGAAAACAAAAGCAGCAGGCTGAGACCACAGCAACAGCTTTCACAGGCTGCATTTTGTCAGCAACAGCTACACATATGGAATAGCATGGCTTCGTCCGCCTATTGTTGGAGATCTTTCCACAGGGAGCTTTCTATGGGATTTTTAAAATGCAACATGATCTAGGTCCATAGGAGCCAGTCAACCTGCTGGTAAAGCAGTGAAGAGCACAGAATAATTCTGATGCCGCTCTCAAAAAGCCTGGTGCAAATCTAAGAAGCATCAAGTACACACGTGATGAATAAAAACACAGCAAAATCAGTGTGGGTTTTTTCCACATATTTTCCTCTCCAACACACTATCCACACACCCTTTTCCATTCTTTGCTATCTGGTTCAGTTTCCATGTTTCTACTGAGCATTCCTGATTAAAGAATGAGCTTTACTCCAAACTAATCTATACGTTCAACCATCACTTAAGTATCTATCTGTACTTAAAGACAGACTAGAGTGTAAGTCAATCAGAAATCAAGGAATTCGAGACTTAAGGTTTTCCTTCTCAACATAATTACTTCTACTTTCTCACCCCTGAATAACTAGTCAAATCCTATGCCCTTAATTCTCACCCCAATGATTAAGTTACGGCCACAATCTGTCAACAAGATCTTACAGTCCTATTTTGTCATCCACATCCCCAAATCTATTCCATCTCGGAACCAGATAATTCATCTAAATGAACATCTCTAAAATGTAACGCTCAGGCTTCAGTCTCTTTGAGTACCTTGTAATCTTACTGAAAAATTCAACTTTCCACATGGTTTCCATATATTCCAAATGTATTACTATCAATCCTCCAGCTCTTTCAACAAAGGGACTCTTTGGACACAAAATGGGACAGAAGGCATCTCAGATCCCTTAGAGTGCCTTGTGTATATATTACCATGGTCCCTGGACTTCACTACGTGTTAACTGTCCAATTATTTATGGGGAGAGGAAGAGAGGGAGAGAAAGAGCGAGTGAGAGATGGGGGAAAGAGAGAGAGAAATTGACCAACCAATCCTGTGAGAAGGCTATAAGGTCGATGATATCAAGATTATGCCTGCCTTACAGATCTTCATATCCCTAAAATATGACAGATATGAAACTTGCTAGGCAATCAAACACTTGGCAAGTGACTGAAAGCACTCAGCTTTCCTCTCCGACACAGGAAACAAAACATATCAACCTTCTGAAACTCCCCTACTCTAACTCAAGTGATGCTAGTTGACACCTGAGAAGATAAAAGTTTATATTCTGTTAAGTAACCAATGCTTGCCGAGTTTGGACTGGGAAAGGAGAAATTCATTAAAATAACTAAGGCATTTCCCCTATGTTTCAATAACTTATTTGCATAAAGCGTTTTTAAAAATATTACAAGACAATACAGACAGGGTATGATACCATTGAAGTTAAAATATGAAGTCTTAATAGTCTAGAAAATTTCATAAATGTACAAGTCACTGATATATTACTAAAAACATCCTCTCACAGATAAGAGGGAAATATGGAATCACACTAATACAGCTCAAGTCAAAATGAAAGAAAACGGTACAGGGCAAAGCAAAGGCATGGCAGTGAACACACTGCCTGCTTCTACCAAAGAACAACTATCCAGCAGATAAGTCTAATGTCAAATGTGCATAATCACACAGATTAAATACTGTCTTTTTTTTTCATCTTTTTAAAAGTCAAACAAGTTTTGAAACTAATGCAATGTATCAAGAAGTTCTTAGCTGAAGAACAAATTGACTCAAACCAAAGCTGTCTTCTGTGGGAAAAAAAGCTACTTCTGAAACACAGAACATTTATCCTAGGAATCGTTTTCTGACATAGCTATTGTGATAAATAGGATTTGCCTTATACTATTATCAATAAAACCCTTATGAAAACTGGAAATGGTTTCCAAAAACCTCTTACATACACCGGTCTTATTACATCAATGTCATTTTTATAGACAATGTATTATCACTGACTAATTTTAAAAAACCCTTCCATAATCTCATATATTTTATTCAACTCAGGTTATATTATGTAACATATCCCATTTTTTATATCCCTACCAAGAATTTCAAACCTGATCTCCTGAAAAATTTAATACACAGTTATTAAATGGCGTTCTGCGGTACATATTCATGTTGCAGAAAAGGGTTGCTAATAAAACAAACGTAAGGTATTATTTTACATAACCAAAGGGTTTTCATTATCTCAAAAATTTTGTGTGGCTTGAACCTTTATAAATGTGTTGCATTTTATCGTAGTCAATGCCTCCCAATTCAAACTTGCATACAGCAGAGTCCTATCTTTCTGGGCAAGCAGGACTGGTGTGAAGAGACAACATGTACACCACAGCACGGACAGCACTTTAATTTCACAACTAGCTTAGGAAAGCTGGAAATTCTGAAATGTCAGTTCATCCATATAACTTCCATGGGATTGGACGAGTTTTGTCAGTATTCAGTCCATTAGCTCTCTGTATATTTTTTGTTTCTTTCCACGCTGGGCAGAAGGAAGAGCTATTTCTTCCATTAAGAGAGATGAGCAGAACTATGTACCAGTTTCCTTTAACACTGGTATGAGCTAAGGGCTAAGATGTCCACTCCCTAGGGCTTTCAAGGGGCACCGCATACTAATACTCCGTAGCACAGGCATCCCATATGGCTGCCAGCTCCAGTCCTGGCTGCTCCAATCAAGGTCCAGCTCCCCGCTAGTGTACCTGGGAAAGCAGCAGAGGATGCTCCAAGCTGTGTCTCTGCACCCATCTGTGTAACCTGGAGGCAACTCGTGGCTCCCAGTTTCAGACCAGTCCAGCTCTAGTCATTGGGGCCATTTCAGGAGTGAAAGAGGAGAGAGATGGAAGCTCGCTCTCTCTCTCTCATTCCTTCGTTTTCTGTAACTCTGCCATTCAAACAGAAACAAGTAAATAAATAGTTTTTCAAAAGTCTTTTTCTAAGTCCCATTTGAAAAGGTCTCCTCGGTCCCTACAGCCTCTCTCCATTCTTGCTCTAGAACCCAGACTTTCCTTGTCACATAAACTTCACAGAAATGTCCATGTACACAGAGATGCCCTAAAGTCACACATTAAGCATAGTTTTTTTTTTCTGCCCCACTCCACCATAAGCTGGAGAAAAGGAAACCACTGCCTATCCAATACCCAGCTGACCCCCACTCTTGCAGCCTCCATCGACTCCCACTCTTGCAGCCTCCGTCGAGACCTTAACCGCTAACGCTTCCATAACCTGTTCATTCCAAGACTGGAACCGGATGCCCACATCTCATCTTTTGTCGTACACACAACCTCAACCGTCCAAAACAGTAAAAGATGCTAATAACCATCTCCAATCTCCCCTTCTCACTGTATTTCCAGATGTGTGTTCTCCCTGCAAACATCACATACTTCTCTGGGAAAAAAGTCTGAAAACTCTATATGGACTTCATGTTTTTGAAGGAAATTATAAATGTTTATAACCTTTACAACGTGCCTAATTTTAACAGTGTACAAACTTAAGACACAGAACATTTAATTTTAAGTGAGAATTAGATGAGTGTATTTCATGTAAAAATATGATTACATATCTATCTCTTTTAAAATATGAAGTACATCTATTTTAAAGTATCTTCTTTCCATAAAAAGTTGAAAACACTGATATGATTAAGACTGCAATACAATTCATACATCATAAACTTTAAAAAATAGTTAAAAAGCTTTAGATTCATTACATCCTTTTAATAATCACCAATGTGATTAAAAGCAATATAGCAAGCAAGCCGCCATGGCAAATTAATGTATATTCTCTTACATATAACTGCTGAGCCTTTATCATGCTTTTAGGAAAAGTCACCACACTTGCCAAAGATAATACATGACAGACTCTATACAATGTACATTGAATTATTCAATCTTTTAAGTTGATAATTATAAAACCAAAACAAATAAACAAAAAAACCACTCCTGGCTAACGAATTGATTTCCAGACATAATGAATTTGTCTTTCTTAACTCCAAAGTCCATTGCTAATCCCAAATTTGATCCACAATATCTAAAGAGGAACACCAAATGTTACAGGCTGGTTATTTACTGGCATGAAAGAAATGAGCAAAGATGTTGTTATAGGTCTCTAGGTTAAAATGCAGAATAAAAAAGCATGAAATCCGGTTAAAATGACATGCCAGTAAGAAAATACAGACTTGAAACTGTTTTCCTTTTTGACTAAGTCCTTTTTCGATCTGATTAAAACTTTTACTGAATTTTCCCAATACTTTCACATTGATTTTCTAGAAATTTAAAGCACTCATCTGCGTCATGCAAATTTCTGATGAATTTACCATAAGCTCTCACACGAAGAGCAATCAAATCTCATTGTGTCTTCATTTGCAAAGCAGGTTAGTACACAACAGTGAATGCATTCATACTTCAAAATCAAGAAGCTTTCACTTGTATTCTCTCTCCCAACAAGACGGAAGGCCGTCACCAGCTCCGAACCAACACTGCAGCCTAGGCCACCACGTGCCCTTCCACAGTACCCAAGTTCTCAAAGCTTTCACTCAATCAGGACGAAATACAAAATGACAAGACCAAGCGAATAACATCAATATTATAAACTCATTAGTCACAATGCAAATTCACAAATAAACTTAGGTTAGTGTAGGAGACCACACAGATTACAATACCTGAGATTTAGTGCATTCCTTTGAGCCAAAATGAAATGAGTGCCATAAAAGAGGAAAGGAAAAGGTGATCAGACATGCTATATTATACGGCCCGAATGAAGATCACGTTCAAATTAGGTTACGAATGACCATCTAGAACTGGCTGTGTGTCTACTGCACAACGAGCTTTAGCCATGCACTTGCAACCAATTAAAATCACTCATTACGTATACTCATGCAATTCCTTTCAATTTGTTTTTTCTTCACAGTTAACCAATTTCTAGGAGAAATATTTCCACTAAGACTAGGAAAATATGGCTTGAACATATTAAACAGTAGCAATTTTGCTGTTTTCCAATATTACAATTACATATGTAGGCAAAACAGTAATTAAAATGTAAGCACATCTCTGACATACAAAAACGATCTAGCATTTTTAACTTTGTCCAGGTTGCTGCCAATCTTAACTCGTTTAGTAAAATTAATATCAACATGTCACATATCAGTAAACTATAGTACAATGCCCATTAGTAATAAAGTTGAATTTTACATCCCATTTGATTTTTTTTTCCCTAAAAATGTCTATTGGCCAGGTAAGATATCCTAAGCCAAAAACTGCAGCAATAAATATTTTTCTTAACAACAATGAAGAAGAGGAATGATGCTGAAAAGCTGAATGAGGAGTTCCATAAAACCGAGCAAGGTGGGAGAAAGTTAAGAACTGACACTAGCTGAGGTGTGCCACACGATGGTATGGTAAACGTTGCACAGAAAGCCGACTTCAGAGTTAAGCTCATTTTGGTGCCAAAAACCTTTTGAACTGCATGCCTCGTGTTCTCGTCACTCACACTTGCCACGAGCTTTCTGAAGGCACCTGTGCGTATGAACCTCAAAACTTTCTGCACCAAAACAATCTCCGATCTTTTCAATTCCATTCTCTGAACTCGCTGAACCCCTTCATTCAACTTTAAATTAGACCAATCAATCAAAGACTAAATTTGACGTGGTCCACTCTCCTGCTGTTTCAGTTTAGAAATCACCTTGGAAACACAAAGCAAAAAGAATGCCAAGCCAAATCATCATCGGGGTTGTACTCTCAACAGTCACAACCATTTTTAATACATATTTCCTTCTTCCTTGAGTCTGCATCAGGACTAAAAATGTTACCTTCTTCATGAACATTGGTAACAAAAAACCTTTTATGATTTTTTTTTTTAAATAGCAAGTTTCCCCAACAGACAAAGCTGCCTTTGTGATGAGCAAAAAGCAACCCTTCTAAATGAGTTCAATGAAATGATTCAACTATGAAATTCATGCTAAATTAAAATAGCGCACGGGGAGTCAGAGGAGTGGGCGGGTTGCTGGTGGTCAAAGCCACATTAAATGTTTAAAAACAAAGGGTTTTCAGAAACGGAATCTATGAAGTGCGGGGATAAAACATATTATTTAAAGTAACTAAACACCGAGGCTGCATGCAGGTTCCTACGCATTTGCTGTCGGCACCAATTTGAAGACAAGAAATAAACAAGTGCCAAACAGTTACCTGCCTTTCCTTCTTACAGTTTTAATTTTACAATTAATTTAAAGCATAATAGCTGCTCATTTAACAGGGCTACCTGTACAAACTCCTTCAACTTACTATGCTACATTCAAGAATTGAAGCTACGTTGAACAAAGCAGTAAGGAAAAAATCAGGCTCTAAACTGACCCTTCTTAGTAGGTCTGAGACAAAGCACCCCCCTGCTCCGTGGTTTCCTCAAATATAAAAAGCAGCTTATTTGTCAAATTATTCAAATAAATGGCAAGCATTATAACATTTAAGAATACTGAACCTATTAGAGATATTTCGGGACATCTTCACATTGAGACTTTGAAGAGCAATTTCAAATTATTATCTCACTTGATGGAATTTTAAAATCTCAGCTAATCTCACAGCTGTATGGGAAACATGGAATTCTTGCAGATCTACTTTCGACACTAAAAAATGAGTAAAGCACCAGTCATTTAGGGGCAGAGATGAAATGCACAAACGTTGCCCGATGCTTCAGATCAAGGTGACTTAAATTACACCAAATATAGGCATATAACGCTACTCGCGAAGCAGATCTTCCAAGAAAACCGTAAGCAGTAAGTGAGCTAAAGGATGTCTCTTAGCATCTGACTCAACTGCATGTATTGCATGTTTTGCGCAAAATCTTCCAATGATAAAGGCTGCCATAGAAACGAATTATTCAGCAAAAGTATGTAAGTTCAACGTTTTCCCACAAAACTGCACCAAAAAACTTCAAAAGCACTCCGAATACTTACCGTGTGGTAGCCTCTTGGCAAAGGGGGTTTGCCCACAGGGTAAGGATCCACCGTGTCGATAATTGTTTGCCGTTCGCCTTTCTGGTTGATTTTTCTAAATCGCCTTCGAGATTGTCTGTGGGAAGCTTGGCGTTGAAAATACTCTTCATTTTCATCCATATAGTCCACCTGAAATAAAGCCCAAGAGGAAACTTCATTTCCCCAGGCACAGTCTACCATACTGGTACTAAACGAAAAAACCCACGATAGCTATTTGCCCTCATTTTGCAAAGCAATCTGCAGACAAACCAGAGAAGCTTCCAGTGAGCTCCAGCTTCCCTGGGTCTAGACGCTTTTGACCAACTTCATGTACGAAGAGGCATTTTCGGTCCCACATAGGACATCATGGCTAACTCTTGAATTTCCTGCCATTTCAAAGGGAAGGGTATTTCCGGTAGTCTTTGCACTGGCTCATTAATGAAAGATCTCACAGGATGTATTATCACATGCAACCAGAGCACCTCCTACACGGTCATAACCCAAGCACGCCCAGGAGCCCAGGAGGCCCCAACCGGCCCACCGAACCACTCGGGCACACGGCCTCAGGGGCTCTCCTGCTTTCCTCCTGTGGCTTCAGTTTTCACAAGTAGTTTTTTACCATCTTGTACAAGAATAATTTCATATGTCAGAAACTTTGAAAGCATGTTTGGTTTCAAGACTGCTCACAGAGAAAGCAAAGTAATGTGTGTAATACTGGCAAGCATAAAACACTCAAGGTGTTTTATAAAACACTCTCTCCCGCAAATAAAACGATAAAATCTAAGAACAAGGAATTTTTAAAAATTCTTCACAGAACTTCAAAACTGGCAATAACAAATAAGATCAAGAAAGATTCAGAATGGATTCGCAGTCTCCTGCACCCCCTACACTTCTCCCAGTCCTCAATCTTGATCTAACCTCTGAGCCACTTTCTCACATACTGGTAAATTTGGTGAAATTTCAGCAAAAGTTTTCAATAGTTTTGACAAGGAACTTCTCATCTCTGATGAGATTTCCATTCTACACTCTATGGAAAAACCCTGAGGCTTAAAAAAAAAAAAAGACAAGCAAGCACTTGTCTAAACATACATAAGAACCTTTCGTCAGAGGCAGGTATCGGCCCGGCAATCAAGTCCCTGCCAGGACACCAACATCCAGTGTGGCAGTGAACCCTTCAAGTTTCGGTTCTGCTTCCTAACGGGCTTCCTGCAGAAGGAAACGGCCCTCACTACTCCGTGGGGGTACCCAGAGGAGTTTGGGGCCCCTGGCCTGGGTGGGACAAGACCCTGACTGAGGCAAGCATTTGGGAATTTAAAAATAAAGGTTTCCTCTGCCTAACAGAGTGCTGGATGGGACCATAAGAATATGCCAGCTGAGTGTCTGTGCTGAGCGCACCCTTCCAACCTGATCTGATTACAACTTTTTTTTTTGACTGATTGTTTTAAAAGTACCTGTTATCCTACTCTAATTTTCCTAAGGAGCAAATATGACAGGGTTTTTTTTTGAGATTCAATAAAGTTGTTAATATCTATTTTCACAGAATGTTTACTATGTAAGAAAGAGATGTAAAGATGTCAATATAATGTTTAATAATCGGTGTAGCAGTCCCCCAAGCGTCTTTCAATTGTTTACAAGAAGTTGGATGATTTTCTTCTGCTAACTGGTCCCTGAATACAGCTCACTAAGATTCACAAAAGTAGCTCACTCCAATTAACAGAGGGGGTTAATCTGTTAGATTAACCTGTTAGAACCTAGAATATAAAGACTTCTCCCCAAATTTCAATTACGCCATTAACATAGATTGAATGAAAAAGCTGAACGTTCAAACTTGCAGCTCTTGCCCCCCTGAATTTTACCTTTAACTGAATCCTGTAAATAACCGCAGCAGTAAAATTACAAGTTCAAATTCACTGAAGTTATGAGATATGTATCTTAATGTTTTAAAAATACAATGCCTTGTGATAAGCAGCTTGTGCAAATGGGTTTACTTTACAAAATGTCTTAGGAAAACAAACAATCCCCACAGAAATATTCTTACCACAATCATCTCAGAAGGCTCTAGAACAATGCACTCGCAGCCACGCCTAAAGCTCCCCGCAGAACGCTTGCCAAAGCTGGAAGGGAGCAAAGCAAACATCCAGTGAGGACAATCGCAGGAGCTAGAGAAACATGAACTGAGAAGTGAAGCCAACCCTCCAGATACGCAAAAACTGAACCCAACTGCCCTAGGCACAGCCCGGGGAGGAGCCGCGTCGGCCACGAATGACACCCAGCGACAGGGGACACCCAGTGACCGGGGACACCCAGCGACAGGGGAGCATTCACACTCTTCAGTTTCGGTTGGGTTTTCACTTTTTGGAAAATTCCAGCATAATTTTTCAAGTTAATCATGTAAGCGCTACGTGAATGGTTAGCATGAATGTGCATTATGTCGGGCTGTTTTCGGTCATTCCCACTAAGGGGAAGTTTATGAAAAACCCCAAGAGGGGCAGAAAGTCTCTCAATGGCCAACTAAGAAAACGTTCAGAGGTCACGGCAGAGCAGAGGCCAGGGGGCCACCGAGGACACCCAGGTCCCACGCACAGTGCCCGCCGGGAGACTGGCTACTTCCTCTTTGGGCCTCGCTTTCTGCACCCTCGCAGACACCAGGTGATGTTGCAGACTCATGCATTTGAGTTCCTGCTACCAGCCCCCCCATCCGCCCCAGGTTGCAGGCACCTGGCGAACCAGCAGAGGTCTCTCTCAGAGAAGATAATTAAGATGGTAACTTTTGTTTGAAACGCAGGGTTACAGAAAAATCTTGAATCTACTGGTTCGCTCTCCATGTGGCCACAGCAGCCAGAACTGAGATGATCAGGAATCAGAAGCTTCCTTCAGTTCTGCCACGTGGGTTCAGAACCCAAGGACCTGAGCCACTGTCCATTGCTTTCCTAGGCCAGGTGCAGGAACAGCTGGTTCAGAGGTAGAGCACCTGGGACAGTGTCCAGAGGGGCTCCAGTGCCCAAGAGCAGGCTCAGCCTACCACGGCCCTGGTCCCAAAATAATCTGGAATCTCCAGGTAGTACAAGAGGCACATAAGTTCTTTAAATTGCTCAAACCTTTCTTTCAGAAGGTATACCTGCTTTTCTAGATTTTTATTATCCTATAAATTCTTTAAGATACTGTTTTTCCTTAACTCTAAAATGACTTAGAGACATGCATACATACACATCCACCCCCTAAAAAGAGAAAAAGAACAAAACACCACTTTTCTTGAACACCTTGTGCCTGAACTCCAACACAGCACCTCTGTCCTGTGGGCAGCACGCGCCCACCCTCACAGCCCTAACACGGGATATCTGCTGTTTCTGACACACACACGCAGTCAGGACCGGGAATTCTGGGGAAGCTAGGTCATCTTTAACCACTCTTACAATGCCATCCCTTGCTCATTCACTACTCCAAAAATCCTCATTTTCTATCAGTCCACGTTAACATTTGAAGTATTCATTTTTAGCAAGTCTATCTTTTAGGGGGGAAAAATGTGAAAATAGTCAAAGAACTGCCTTACTGAGCAGTTCACCCAACTGGACAATTTGAGGGATTCCTTTGCGAGGTCTTCTTCCTTTCCTATCTCACGATGGCACACACAATTCACGGGCTCTGATGGAAAGAGTCCTAGGACAGCAGTGGCGATCTCCAACACACCACACTGAACACATTTCTGATAACGAGCTTCATTTTCTAATACAAAGGTTATCAGATGGCACTAGGCCATCACTTTATTTCTTCCCCTGCACGGGGAGTGGGGGTCTATTTTAATTCAATCAAGAACAAGATGTGGAGCTGGTGCGGTGACCTTTCCCGGCCAATCCTCCACCTGCAGTACCAGCATCCCAAATGGGTACCAGCTCAAGTCCCAGCTGCTTTACATCCTGTTCTAGCTGCCTGGTGATGGCCTGGCAAAGTAGAAAAGGCGGGTGCCCCTGCACTCCCATGGGAGACCGGAAGAGGCTCCACGCTGAGGCCTAGTTCAGCTCTGGCTATTGCGGCCATTTGGGAAGCGAGGCCGTGAATGGAGGCTCTCTTTCTCCTTCTGATTTTCAAGATAAAATCAGTAAATCTCAATAAATGCATTCAGACACACAGATTTGTATGAGGACTTTCCTAAAGGGTAAGACATGTTGCCAAGTAAATTATTAAAAAAAAAAAAAAAAAACAAAACTTCTTAGTCACTTAAGCTCTAATATAAGTAGAATAAACCAAATTTTAAGATATTTTTTGTATTTCACCACAAAAATTCGCTAACTATTCATCATACACAGAAATTTCTTTTGCAATCTGGTTTTAATTTAGTTTTTTTTTCCAAAGAATCTTTACAATTTAATGATACATTTCAAATTAAGAAATAATGTCTATGTGTTAGAAAATTTGTGGAACTTTCAAATTATCATTGTCCATTTAATCCTACTAGATGAGTGGATTAAAACAGTGTATGTTTAAGACTAATTACTAAGTTAAAACATTAAAATTTCAAAATTCATAATTTGTGGGATTCTAAATCTGACCCTATTTTTGTTGAGTTAAAGACCTGGGTAAGTTTAAAACATAAACAAGCAAATGGTTATTCTTTTTTTTTTTTTTTAATTTGCTTTCCTAGTTAAAAAGTTTGTGATACATGCAACAATATTCACACGATACCCGAGGGAAAAAACTGAAATATCTTAGAATTTTCACCAATTTTAGCAACAAAAGGTGTTAAAGCTCACATAACTACTGCTATCGGCTCCTGAATCAGAATTTAGCCTCCAAATTCTCTTACCAATTAGTCACTGGCTCAACAGAAATCCATGAGTAAGAAGTCGCACATTCAGGTGGTACTAAAACCATCACTTTGGACATAAAGAGCTTGCACTCCCAAATATGCTATTTTTTCTTTTAATTCCCACAAGAGTACTGGGGAGTGAACTGCACTAAAACTGCAAAAACTATGCAGTACATAGAAGAAAAAAAAAACTCATGTTCCCTTCCAGCTCCCTGCCTATGGCCTGGGAAAGTAGTTGAGGACGACCCAAAGCCTTGGGACCCTGCACCCGCGTGGGAGACCTGGAGGAAGCTCCTGGTTCCGGATCTGCTCAGTTCTGGCCTTTGTGGCCACTTCAGGAGTCAATCTATAACCAGAAAAATTTTTCACTGTCTCTCCTCTATAAATCTGCCTTTGTAATAAAAATAGATCTTTAAAAAAAAAAAAAAAGACATCTGTCACCTTTGCAGGTTTTAAGAAAAACCAGAGACAAGGAAGCAATGTTTCAAAGGTGGGTGGCTGTGCTCTGCTCCAAAGATCCACTGCTGGGGACCGCTGGTCCGATCACGCGCATTCTTTATTACTGAATATTGTATTAGGCAATGTACAGTGATCTGTGTTCTTAACACAATCCCCATCAAAATCTCAGCAGGACTTTGAAGAACCGGTCCTGAAATTCATATGGAATTTCAAGAAGCCTTAAAGCTAAATCCACCTAGGGAGAAAGAGAACTCAGCACTTCAATTTCAAAACTTACTACAAAGCTACAGATGCCAAAAGACCAAGTCGAAGCAGAAATAAAACCATATTCTAAGAGCTGCGGATTTCTAAGAGATGTTAAGTTTGGTCAGCAGACGATTCCACATGGTAAAGAATGAAGCCAAAATAGATCAAGAACTTAAATATACAAATCCAAATTATAAAACTTCTAGGAAAATGAGAAGCAAATATCCAAGCCTTAGATTTGGCAATGGATTCTCTTCTTCAAGGCTTTTTAGTTTGTTTCTGTTTATAAGGCAATGATGGGGGCTGGTGTTGCTGGGGAAGAGGAGTGGCAGGTATTTAGGGAGTGAACCAGCAGGTGAAAGATGCACAAGAGCCTTCTACCAGGTCCAGGCCAGCTGGTTTTGTCACTGGAAAGTGAACCAATGGATTCAAGATATCTTTCTCTCCCTGTCCCTCCTACTCTCCCTTGCTCCTCCCTCTCTCTGAAATGCTGCCTTTCAAATAAATAAATCTTTTAAAAGATTGTGTTTTAAAAATATTATACAGTCATGAGAAGGACAAAAACTCAGATATAAGATACAATATGACTGAGCTCTTACAACACTACGACAAGGCCAATAAGCCATTCAGTAGGAAGACCAGGATTCTACTTACATCAAATATCCAGAATAGGAAAATTCACAGACACAGGAAGATATTTTAGAAGCTAGTGGTACTTCCGTTGTGTCCAAACACTGTGAATATAATTCATGACACATCTGCACGTACTGGTACATTTAAGAATGGTCAAAATGACATGTAAAACCAAAAAAAAAATGACAATAACAACAAACTATCAAGTAGATTTATACTTAAGAAAAAAAAAATTGAGAATAAGAACAAGTAGGAATTCTACTTTGAACAAACAACAAACCTTAAGGGCAAAGTAGTTATTTTGATGACTGAATTATGCCACTGATAATTAGAAAACCAATCTCTTGGGTAATTTGGCAACGATGTGATGAAGACTCTGGGTAAAAGTAGATAAAAGGTAAATAAATACTTTAAATCAGAGTGCTGAAAAGTTGATTCTAGCCAGGTTTTTCACTCACCCAGAACTAACCTAATTTGTTCATCCTTGGCCTTGAGAACTTAAAAGTTCTCTTCCTGCGCATGTGTGTGTCCGTGTGGGTTTGTAAACTGTGTAACATACAAAGCAGCTTCAAACAGTTCACAGGATGTGGAGAAGCAACTGGCACATCAGTGAAGAGGCCAAATCCAGCGGAACGCCCAAATCTAGGCAACTTGGGTTCAGCCTTACGGACCACTTTGCTGCCAGCCCCTCTGCCAAATGCTCAATGGGTATACAACACAGCATCAATGCTAGCAACATAACTCTGTAATCAATAAAGATCTCATAAGATACTAACATCGAGTCTCTATGCTTAAGCAATTTATATCCTAAAGATAAGTACGCAAACAGCTGTGACACAGTAACAACGGATGACTGAGCCTCATCAAGAGCTCAGTTCTCAATGGCTGGGGTCACTCACCAGCTGATAGGATGGAAAAAGGCTGATCAGAAAGCAATCTGAATTCAGCAAAATTACAAATGACCATCAAGAG